ACAAGATATAAGAGAACAATTTTGTGATATTATTAGAGAGGCCCTACCTCCAGCCAGGTGGAAGAGAGGGACAATTGGATTTACTGGACTGTGTGGAACAGATGGCCTGGCATATCAGTCCCACAGAAGTATAAGGCTCTAGTAGATACCGGTGCACAGTGTACCCTGATGCCATCAAGCTGTCAAGGGGTGGAACCCATTTATATTTCTGGAGTGAAAGGAGGATCCCAAGAGTTGACTGTACTGGAGGCTTCAATCAGCCTGACTGGGAGGAAGTGGCAAAAGCACCCCACTGTGACTGGTCCAGAGGCTCCATGCATCCTTAGCATACACCACCACAGGAGAAGTTACTTCAAAGACCCAAAAGCTGCTTTGGAGACAGAGGAAATTGAGCAGCTGTCCACCTTGCCTGGTCTCTCAGAGGATCCTTCTGTTCTGGGGTTGCTGAAGGTCGAAGAACAACAAGTGCCAATCGTGACCACAACAGTGCACCAGCAGCAATATTATACCAACTGACACTCCCTGATTCCCATCCATAAGCTGATCCATAGACTGGAGAGCGAAGGAGTGATCATTACGACCCTCTCACCCTTTATTGGCCCCATATGACCAGTGTAAAAGTCTAACAGAGAGTGGAGACTAACAGTAGACTATTGTGGCCTGAATGAAGTCACACCACCATTGAGTGCTGCCATACCAGACATGATAGAACTTCAATAAGGACTGGAGTCAAAGGCAGCCAAGCGGTATGCTACAGCTGACATTGCAAATGTATTTCTCTCAATTCCTTTGGCAGCAGAGTGAAGCAACAGTTTGCTTTTACTTAGAGGGGCATCCAGTGCACTTGGAACTGATTGGCCCGGGGTGGAAACAGCCCTACCATCTGCCATGGAGTGATCCAGACTGCACTGGAACAGGGGCAAGCTCCAGAACACTTGCAATACGTTGATGACATTATTGGGTGGGGTGATACAGGGGAAGAAGTTTTTGAGAAAGGGAGGAAAATAATCCAAATCCTGCTGAAAGCCAGTTTTGCCATAAAACGGAGTGATGTCAAGGGACCTGCACAGGAGATTCAATGTTTGGGAATAAAATGGAAAGAGAGGCATCGCAGGATGCCCATAGACGTGATCAACAAGATAACAGCAAAGTCTCCACCATCTCATAAGAAAGAAATATAAGCTTTCTTGGGTGCAGTGGGGTTCTGAAGAATGCACATCCCAAATTAGCTTGATTGTAAGCCCTCTCTATCATGTGACCTGGAAGAAGAATGATTTCAAATGGGGCCCTGAGCAACAACAAGCCTTTGAGCAAATCAAATGAGAGACAGTTCACGCAGTAGCCCTTGGACCAGTCCAGACTGGGCCAGATGTGAAAAACGTACTCTACACCGCAGCCAGGGAGAATGGTTCTACCTGGAGCCTCTGCTCTGGCAGAGAGCTCCAGGAGAGATTTGAGATAGACCCCTCGGCTTTTGGACTCGGGGATACAAAGGATCTGAGGCCAGCTATACCCCAACTGAAAAAGAGGTACAGGCAGTCTATGAAGGGGTTCAAGCTGCTTCAGAAGTGACTGGCACTGAAGCACAGGTCCTCCTGGGCAGGCTGGTTGCCCGTGCTGGGATGGATGTTCAAAGGCAGGGTTTACTCTACACATCATGCAACTGATGCTACATGGAATAAGTGGGCTGCACTAATTATACAATGAGCTCGAATAGGAAACCCCAGTCCTCCAGGCATTCTAGAAGTCATCATGGACTGGCCAGAGGGCAAAGATTTTGGAATGTCACCAGAGGAGGAAGTGATGCATGCTGAAGAGGCCCCACCATATAATAAATTGTCAGAAAGTGAAAAGCAGTATGCCTTGTTTACTGAGGGGTCCTCCTATATTGTGGGAAAGCATTGGAGAGGGGAGGCAGCTGCACAGAGTCCCCAATGAAAAGTTGCAGAAACTGCTGAAGGAGAAGGCGAATTTAGTCAGTTTGCCGAGGTGAAAGCCATCCAGCTGGCCCTGGACATTGCTGAACGAGAAAAATGGCCAGTACTTTATCTCTATACCAACTCATGGATGGCGGCAAATGTCCTGTGAGGGTGGTTGCAGCAATGGAAGCAGAGCAACTGGCAAAGCAGAAGGAAACCCATCTGGGCTGCTGCACTGTGGAAAGATATCACTGCCCGGGTGCTGAACCTGGTGGTGAAGGTACATCATGTAGATGCACACGTACCCAAGAGTCGGGCCACTGAGGAACACCAGAACAACCTGGTAGATAAAGCTGATAAGATTGAAGTGGCTCAGATGGACTTAGATTGGCAACATAAAGGTGAATTATTTTTGGCCCGGTGGGCCCATGACACTTCAGGCCATCAGGGCAGAGATGCAACATATAGATGGGCCCGTGATCAAGGGGTGGACTTAACAATGGACACTATTGCCCAGGTTATTCATGAGTGTGAAATATGTGCTGCAATTAAACAAGCCAAACAGTTAAAGCCTCTTTGGTATGGAGGACGATAGCTGAAGCATAAATATGGGGAGGCCTGGCAGATTGACTATATCACACTCCCACCAACCCACCAAGGCAAGCGCCATGTGCTTACCATGGTGGAAGCAACCACCAGATGGCTGGAAACATATGCTGTGCCCGACGCCACTGCCCGGAAAACTATCCTGGGCCTTGAGAAATAAATTTTGTGGCGACACGGCACCCCAGAGAGAAATGAGTCAGATAATGGTACTCATTTCTGGAACAACCTTCTAGACACTTGGGCCAAAGAGCATGGCACTGAGTGGGTATATCACATCCCCTACCATGCACCAGCCTCTGGGAAAATCGAATGGTACAATGGGCTGTTAAAAACTACACTGAGAGCAATGGGTGGTGGGACTTTCAAACATTGGGATACACAATTACCAAAGGCCACCTGGTTGTTCAACACCAGAGTATCTGCCAACAGGACTGGCCCAGGCCAGTCAGAACCTTTACGCAGTTCTATGTGAACCTCAATCATCCAATGAACTCAGGTATATGCTGTTGCCTGCTATGGAGCACTTTTATAGCCCAACAACTAGATGTCTTTAGGTCACCAGCGACTGGCCCTGACTTCCCTCTGACCATCATCCCAACAAAAAAAATGCACTTTGACGAAAACAGACAATCTCAGCAGTGACCAGACGAGTTCCACAGTCATCAGCAGGCAACAATCCAACACTGCACACCACCTCTCCTGCTCTGAAAGACTGTTACAAGAGATGGAGCCCGACATCATGGACTGGATGAACTCAGCAGCTTTATACGGACTGGTCCATGCACTAAGGAATGATATCTCTCTCTTTGTGCGTGTGTATGTATATATAAATATATATATGTATGAGATAAGAATAATGAGATATTGAAAAATAACGGATCTGAGCATGATGTGAATGGTATGGAATAAGGGGTGGATACTGTCTTGGGTTCAGCAGTAGCAGTCATTTTTCTCCTTCTTAGTAGCTGATGCAGTGCTGTGCTTTTGACTTTCAGCCTGGGAACAATGCTGATCAGACCGATGTTTTGAGTTGTTGCTAAGTAATATTTACTCTGACCAAGGACTTTGAGTCTCATGCTCTGCCAGGGAGGAGGGGAAGCCAGAAGGAAGCAGAGACAGGACACCTGACCCAAACTAGCCAAAGGGGTATTCCATACCACAACAAGTTATGCCCAGTAGATAAACTGGGGGCATTTACCCAGAATGGCTAGATCGCTGCTTGGGTCGGGCTGGGTGTCGGTCAGCAAGTGGTGAGCAGTTGTATTCTCTTCCCTTATTATTTCCCTTATCATTATTATTATTATTGGTGGTAGCAGTAGTGGTTTTGTGTTATACCTTAGTTACTGGACTGTTCTTATCTCAGACCGTGGGAGTTACATTCTTTTGATTCTCCTCCCTATTCCTCTGGGAGCAGGGGAAGGAAGGGGTGCAGGGGAACGAGCAAGCAGCTGTGTGGTTCTGAGTTACCACCTTGGCTTAAACCACAACAGTAATCAAACGTTAAACATCGGGAAACACACATCGAAGTTATTTCAAGCAACCTACGCAACCATCAGTTAAAAAATATAAAGGCATCTCTTCATCTCTTTCCATTCAGAATTATTTACCACTTCTGCAAACACAGACTGTAGGAAAAACTACTTTAAATTCTGCCTATTATTATGGCACAGCTGCCCTGCACTAACATCCAAAGATACTTGCCTCTACATTTTAGTAAGATAGTTCAGCTCTAACCCCTAATGGCCTGAAGCTGAACAGCCTCCCTAAGCAATTTTAAACCAATGCAGCCTACCAAGTAATCTAAAAAACAATACCCCTTCATCCTTGAATATACATCACTTCTGATTTGAAATAAGCCCACTCCACTGAAGATTTTGGGGTAGGGAAGTACACTACTCTGTCAATCCAAATAAAAAAGGAAATGTAGTCATGACACAGACAAAACTAAGTGTAGACCTATTACACTTAGAGGTGAAGCAAAGGAATCAAACCTTTGGTTGTTTTTTTTTTTAATAAAGTGTATCTGAAAAGTTAATTCTTGAAAATCCTTGTATTGAATGTGGTTGGCTTTTTCTTTTCTATTAGAATCTAGCTATCCCGTGCATCCATTCAGCATGTTGGGATCACAGTGCTTCTGATTCAGAGGAACAAGAAGCACTTACTGAACCAGTGGTACAGAGTCCAAATTAAGTTCAGGCTAAGAATGAGCCTTCTAGCCTCCAATGATCTTATAGTCTGAACAAGGTCTTGAGAGACTTTATAAAGTAGGGTTTTTTTTTAATTTTTTTTTTTTTTTCTGAAATATGAAAAAAAAATTAGGCCTCGGAAAAGAAACTGCATTTGAATAAGTATTTAGTGTTTTCACAACAAAAAAAAGGTGAGGAAAGCACATTTGCAAACACACATGAACTAACAATATGTAAGACGGAGGAAAACACAATGCACAAGAGTAAAGTGAAATTAAGCCAGACATACCTGAGTTGTTGATAGGCGAAAAACAGGGCCAGTTGTGGGCACAGAAAGTCTCTGAGACATGCTGACAGGACCCTGTCCCTGCATGTGTACTTGAGCCTGCATTTGAGCCTGTGCTAGAGCCTGCTGAGGCATCATTACAAGCTGTCCAACATCCATGCGCACCAAGACCATATCTAATGAGAACAAAGTAACAATAACTATACAATAAAGAATAATATATAAAGAACTATAACTACAGAATATAAAGCTTATATATAGCACTGTACATTTTTATTTATACTGTATATTCTTTTTTTATTCTGGTGTAGCATGAGGTGTTATTTCAAGGAAGAAAAGTAGCCCCCACCAGCAGACAAAATAATAATTCAGTTTGGAATTCAAATAACTGTAGTTTATGGATAACAGTGACTAAAAAAAGGTCACTTGAGTGTATAGGCATACTTTTAGCAGTCTACTCAGGGTCAGCAGAATAAAATTGAAAAGGAATATTCATTAGAAGTAAACTATAGCGACAATCCAGTAGCCAAGAATAAAATTTAGTATGAACATACCAGGGACAGTGACACAACAGCTTTACTAAAACAACAGCTTTAGAGGATGTGTACACAGAAACATCAGGCCAACCACATTTCTGAGCATACAGTATTTGAGATCTAGTTAATCGTTGAGCATTAACAGATGAATTTTTGTAGTACCCATCATCAACATATTGGGAGGCACTACCTGTGGTTTAGACATCAAGAAAAAAATATCACCAAACTCAGAGAACCAACACTGCCACTCCTCAGCACAAAATGATACAAGTGCAGGTATTTTAGGAAAACACCAAAGAAATTGTTTAAAATTAGCAGAGTACTTGGCAAGTGTTTTCTAACACTTTTTGGAAGTAAATGATATTTTTTTTTCATATTATTTTCTGGTAACACATTTCACAAATAGAGGCCTTTTACACAACACAGCCAGTGCCATCAAGTTTTGTCTTAAGCTTTCCAGAAAAAAGGAAGACAATAGCTAACTTGGTCCCTAGATTACCTGGAGCTTCACACTTACTCAAGATCACTGCAAAGCATGTCCCTTATTAAGAAACAATTCCCCAGACAGATTATTTAAAAAGAATTTCCAAGTTCATTCCAGAACACACTTTAATAATTTAACCTAGATATGGTACAACAGGTCTATAAACAGGAAAACATCTTGCCTGCAACTACAGGAGAACAAAAAATATAAGAGTGTAAGAAGTCACATTTATTCTGCTGGTAACAATCAGTAGACACTGCTTCTACAACTTATCTCCATGTGCAAAATGCTTCATATATATTTTTTAAGTTTTCAAGGGAAAAAAGGTAAAAGTATACATTCACTTCTAATTAACATTGCAAAGAAAAAACAAAAAACAAACAAACAACAAAAAACAACCACCACCACAAAACACCCCACAAAAAAAAAAACCACCACCACCACACCTCAGTAAAGAGACATGGCTTGCAACATACCACCAGGATAAAGAAATCCGACACTATCATAACAAGAAAAAAAACCTCAAATGTACCCTATACCAAGTCTTTCAGTCTCTAACATAGAAATACAAATACAAATCATGGGATGAACACACGAGTGAACTGCAGCACCAATAAAAGCCCTCACTCGCATAGTCTTAGGTGCTCCCAGGCAACCCTCCCTACTAAAAACACAAACAGGAGGCAAATTTCTGCCACTACAAACTAAAGAATTTTGGAAACCAAGCTTTAAGGTTAAAGGCATAGAGTGCTACAGGAAGGACCACATCCAAAAGCCATGTTCATAACTCTCTAAGCTCAGAGAGCAACTTTTAAAAGAAAAGTTGAAAGAAACCCATAAAACATCTTTTAAAATATAACTTTTAAGGTCCATTAGCCATTTAAGCACCAAACCTCATCTTTTATATTTGCAGAAAAACTCTGTAAGCAGATGATATACTTGGTATATGCCATTCCTAAACCATCCAGACACAAAAATACCAGTACACTGACAACTGGCCAAACAGATATCCCTCCTCTCATTACATTGTAAAACTTATATAGAAATCCTCATAGGATAATGCCTACCCCACATTAAAAACTACACGTTCTATTTCCATTACACAGATTCACAAGCGTGTTAATTTATCTTCCAATTTTCTAAAACAAAAATTAATGGAAAGGACAAATTAATTGCAACACATGCCACAGTTTCAATAAAAGTTGTAGACATAATTACTACTATAGATGCATAAATATTCATGTATTAATGTTATGTTTTAATTTAGTTTGGAGGACTTGAAATTTCTTTTACTGAGCAATACACGCAAATTAGAATCCACTTAAATTATGAGATTATTTTTTCCTGTCAGCCACATAAAGACAAGACACACAACTTATGATTATTATATGCTAAAATAACTTATTGTCAAAAGGTGATTCTAAATTTCTGCTTTAGATAGAAGTTTACATTGTGGGAGTTCCATAATTAATTATAAATGATCCACCAATTTTAAGAGTGAAAACTCAAAAATAACATTGTATTTTCTGAATAACTTCATTTTAGAACATACTATCTTAATGTTTACAAAAAATATAATTGATTTCAAGCTGACTTGTAATAGAATCAAATTCAAATTATAACTTTTAACAGTATTATTTCCATAACATTTAAATCTTGGACCAGATGGCTTTCAAGGCCTACTGTCTCTCTTCTGTTTGAAAATTAAGTAGCAGAACAAAGTATCAACACAAGAAACTGCCACAACTGTATGCAAAGTTATGATACACATTATCATATGCAATTATGATAAACAGATTAACAATGGGAAATCAAAGGCATTAACGTAGTCTGAATAGCAACCTCTTATCTCTTTGAAACCACTGAGCTTTTTACGTTTGGAGCATTAGAATCTGGAGCAGGACTTCCAGAAACTATGGCCAAATGTACTTTGCTTAGAAGTTAGCTTCTACACCATCACGTTTTTGCTACACTTCACTAATAAATATCAAATATTTTAAGAAACATGATGGAAGAAGGTGTTTCAGACTACATCAATGGTTCCACATATTATCATGCTATTCATATTAATAGCAAAAATATACCAAAACCAGTTCAAATGTTAAATCATCTCCTAAATCAAGAAGGCAGAAAGTTACCAGATTTTTGAAACATGAAAATTTAGTACAGGGCCACAGAACCCTTCAGAATTTCAGCTGAAATAATACATAATCAGGAATTACCAGGATGAAGGGATGCTGTTTTGGTTAGTTAACAACCTTTCTGAACTTACATTTTTAGTAATAAAAGTTAAGATATTAAGAGAAGAATAAACAGGATGCAACTGTTACTTCAGAATTGGAAATAAATATAAAAATATAATATAAATATAAAAATATAATTAGTGATGTAAAGACTGCCCAGATGCAGCAGAGAATGACACCATCACACTTAGAATCATAGAATAGTTAGGGTTGGAAAGAACCTTAAGATCATCTAGTTCCAACCCCCCTGCCATGGGCAGGGACACCTCACACTAAACTATGTCACCCAAGGCTCTGTCCAACCTGGCCTTGAACACTGCCAGGGATGGAGCATTCACAACTTCTTTGGGCAACCCATTCCAGTGCTTCACCACCCTAACAGGAAAGAATTTCCTCCTTATATCCAATCTAAACTTCCCCTGTTTAAGTTTTAACCCGTTACCCCTTGTCCTATCACTACAGTCCCTAATGAAAAGTCCCTCCCCAAGATCCCTGTAGGCCCCCTTCAGATACTGGAAGGCTGCTATGAGGTCTCCACACAGCCTTCTCTTCTCCAGGCTGAACAGCCCCAACTTTCTCAGACTGTCTTCATATGGGAGGTGCTCCAGTCCCCTGACTGTCCTCGTGGCCCTTCTCTGGACTTGTTCCAACAGTTCCATGCCCTTTTTATGTTGAGGACACCAGAATTGTACACAGTACTCCAAGTGAGGTCTCATGAGAGCAGAGGGGCAGGATCACCTCCTTCGACCTGCTGGCCACACTCCTTTTGATGCAGCCCAGGATACGGCTGGCTTTCTGGGCTGCGAGCACACACTGCTGGCTCACGTTCATTTTCTCATCGACCAACACCCCCAAGTCCTTCTCCACAGGGCTGCTCTGAATCTTTTCTCTGCCCAGCCTGTAGCTTCAGCAAAGTTAAAAACTTTAAAAATTAAAAGTTTTAGATTAAATTATACACATCAGCCTATATCTTGCCACCTGATTCATAACAAAAGACACTCTCTGAAGAAGAAAAGCTTTTCAAGTCTATCAGAAGTAGAGCAGGAAATAGAATCCTACAAGGCACATATAAAGTTACTCTTTGCTAACACCCCAGATTTTTGTCTGGATCACGACTGCTCACTACTGATGGGAAGGGTTAACCGATGCACAGGAGGGTTAGGGTTAAGCCGGCTGCTTACTACTTACTCATGCTTACTCAACAAATGCGTGCTCAACACTTATCATGCTAGCCGGAACAGAGTGGAAGGATATTCAGTCAACTGATCGGAACTAGCCCAGCTACAGCCGCAGTAAGCACGCTTCAGCGACCTCGAGGTTCAACAGAGATTAGGAAAATCAGAGGGAATAGCGCAGAGACATCGCGAATCCCGACATCTCCCGATCCCCAAAGCGCAAACAGCCCATGCGAGAGAGCGGCTGATGTGGCGAGGGGCGTTCCCACAGTGACGGCGACCACCGCCCTGCCTCTTGCCTTGAAAGAGCCTCTGAAAGGATCAGCGACATGTCGCTGCCTACCAGGTGCAGGGAGAAACAAGCAGGTCTTGTTGCTGACCCTGTTGTCCCAGACTGCTGACCAATATGGTCGCCTCCAGAAAGAGAGCTTGCAGTAAGAAGACTGCAGCAACTCGGACAGAGACCCCATCCCAAACCGTGGCTGTTCAGGTCTCTGGATGCAGGGAGTGCCAGAGCCTGCTGCTGCCGGGGGAGGGAGGACAGCATTCCACCTGCATGAAGTGTGAGCAGGTAAAAGATCTGCTTACCTTGGTGGCAAAACTTAAGGAGGAGGTTGAGACGCTGAGGACCATCAGGGAGTGTGAAAGGGAGATCGACTGGTGGAGTAACTCCCTGGCTTGCCAGTCGGAATGGTTCCAGGGAGATACCCCCCAAAAGGGGATGGACCCCCTGCCCTC